AACAACCATGGGAGGTGGGCATAATATTATACCAGCCCCTAATTCATTAGCTGAGTGGGCCTTTATGACTCCAAGGAGCACCAGAGCAAGTCATACTCAAGCTGCCAGCAGACCCCTGCTACCTAGTTGCTGGAGACCTTTTGAACTCTCCCACTTGAGACCGGGTGCTGACTGAGACAATTGATTTGGATCTCTTGACCTGGGCCAATCACCTGAGGACCATCCAAGGTGGTACCCTGGTTGTGTTGTGGGAAGGTTTGATTTTCCTTTTCTGGTAGTTGCCCATGGGGGGGCGGTGTGTCTTAGTTACTGATATTTCTCCACAGCTGTGGCTTCAACCCAGAGTTACTGATTCACTAGGATTGGACAGAGACCAGCTGAAAACAAGAGGCCCACCACACCAAGTAGGTCCCCAGTGTCTCAGGCCATAGTACTGTACGGGTCCTTTGCAAAGCTATAGGGGAAAAGCTGAAGTCAAAAGTCCCGGTTCTTGGGAAAAGGGCTGGTTAATCACTAACTCTAGGAGCCCCCAACCCAATTTCACCTTATCTGCTCATCTAGCCAAACGGTGAAAAATAATCATGGGGCAGAATCAGCGGAAAAGTTCTGGCAACATGAGTAATCAGAGTAGATCAACTACCCCAAGGAATGACAAGGTGGACACACTAGAAGATCCCATTCATAAACAAATGGCTGTGATGTCAGAAATCAAATTCAGAATTTGGGTTGCAAATAAAATTAACAGAATGAAGGTAGAGTTGGAATTAGAAATTCAAGGAGCATTTCAAAAGTTGTCTCAAGAATTCAATGAATTCAAAGACAAAATCAACAAAGACTTTGATACATTGAGACAAGAAGTTGCAGCCTTTCTAGATATGAGAAATACAGTAGAATCCCTCAGTAACAGAATGGAGAAGGCAGAAGAAAGGATTTCTGACATCGAAGACAAAGCTTTTTAACACTCCCAAACATACAAAGAGGAAGAGAAGTGAAGAGCAAAAATGGATCATTCTCTCAGAGAGCTCTGGGATAATTCAAAGAAAATTTAATATTCACCTTATAGGAATTCCTGAAGGCAATGAGGTTGCATCAAAAGGCCCAGATGCTCTACTCTAGGAGATAATGGAGGAGAACGTCCCAAACACAGCAAGAGATTCTGAAATTCAGATAACAGACAGTTTCAGTACCCCAGCACAACTCAACCCAAATAAAGCATCTCCCAGACACATTATAATTAACTTTGCCAAAGTTAATTTTTTTTTTTTTTGAGACAGAGCCTCAAGCTGTCCCCCTGGGTAGAGTGCTGGTGGCATCAAAGCTCACAGCAACCTCCAACTCCTGGGCTCAAGCGAGTCTCCTGCCTCTGCCTCCCAAGTAACTGGGACCACAGGCACCCGCCACAATGCCTGGCTATTTTTTTTTTTTTTTTTTTTTTTTTTTTTGGTTGCAGCTGTCATTGTTGTTTGGCAGGCCTGGGCTGGATTCAAACCCACCACCTTAGGTGTATGTGGCTGGCGCCTTAGCCACTTGAGGAACAGGCGCTGAGCCTGCCAAAGTTAATATGAAGGAGAAAATCCTACAAGTAGCCAGACATAAGAAAACCATAACCTACAAGAGGAAGAATATTAGAATGACTGCAGATCTCTTTGCTGAAACCTTTCAAGTTAGAAGAGGGTGGTCATTGACCTTTAAACTCCTAAAACAAAATAACTTTCAACCCACAATCCTGTATCCAGATAAACTGAGTTTTATTTATGGTGGAGAAATTAAATACTTTAATGACATTAACTTGTTGAAGAAATTTGCCATAACTAAACTAGCTCTCCAGGATATTCTCAGACCTATCCTCCATAATGACCAGTACAATCCTGTACCACCAAAGTAAACCCACTCAGAAATTTTTGATCAAATTCCAACTTCCACAGTGATGAAAGGACTAAAAATGTCCACTGGACTTTCAAAAAACTTGATACCCAAAATACTACCTGGCTTATCAATATTCTCAATGAATATAATGGCTTAAATTATATTCTAAAGAGGCACAGGCTGGCTGACTGGATACAAAAGCTCTGGCCAGATAGCTGCTGCATACAAGAATCTCATCTTACCTTAAAAGATAAATATAAACTCAGGGTGAAGGAATGGTCATCTATAATTCAGGAAAATAGAAATCAGAAAAAAGCAGGTATTGTAATTTTATTCACAGATACAATAGGTTTCAAACCAACAAAAGTAAGGAAAAATAAGGATGGTCACTTCATATTTATTAAGAGTAACACTCAACATGGTGAGATTTCAATTATTAACATTTATGGCACCCAGCCAGAATGTGCCTCAATTTATAAGAGACTCTAACAGACATGAGCAACTTGATTTCTTCCTGCACTGTAATAGTCAGAGATTTTAACACCACTTTGGCAGTGTTGGATAGATCCTCTATTAAGAAACTAAGAAAAAAAAATTTAGACTTAAACTTAACCATTCAACAATTGGAGTTAACAGACATCTACAGAACATTTCATCCTAACAAAATGAATACACATTCTTCTCATTAGCCCATGGAACATCCTCCAAAATTGATTACATCTTAGGTCACAAGTCTAACCTCAGCAAATTTAAAAGAATAGAAATTATTCCTTGCATCTTCTTGGACCATCGTGGAATAAAAGTTGAACTCAGTAAGAACAGGAATAGGCATACTCATACAAAAACATGGAAACTAACCTTATGCTGAAAGATAGCTGGGTCATAGATGAGATTAAGAAGGAAATTACCAAATTTTTGGAACAAAACTATAATGAAGGCATGAATTACCAGAACCTCTGGGATACTACAAAGGCAGTCCTAAGAGGGAAATTAATAGCATTGCAAGCCTCTGTCAACAGAACAGGAAGAGAGGAAGTTAACAATTTAATGGGACATCTCAAGCAACTGGAAAAGGAAGAACATTCCAATTCCAAACCCAGA